GAAAGGTGTCATTCTGAATTATAAAACTCAAAGAATTTGATTCGACAAGGTGTTGAATCTGACCGTTTACAAGAGTATAAATTTTGTTTCTCTGCACAAAACTGGGACGTGTCTGAACATTCTTGATCGTTACCAACTTGCTCATTTCTCAGTCACAATGAATCTGTTATTTACATTGTATTCCTTACAATGTTTCAAAGACTTTAAAATTTGTTGCCATGGCTTTTGAAGATAACTTCAGATGGAAACCTGGAACTCTGCTTGCTCGTCTCACTTGGTAACTGTTGCCTTGGTAGCTTCTGTAATCACTTTTCTGGATTCTTAAACTGTACAAATATCTGGGAGGTTTCTCAGACAAACAGAAGATGGTCTGCCTCCCTGACAAATTTCCCATCTCAGTAAAGAGATTGAGAGTCTGGCTCACCTTGAATGAGATCTTTGAGTTCATGATTCTACTTCTAGGGAATGTATGTATCAGAAATAATAGGACAAATGTATTTCATCTCTAAACAAAGATTCTCATTGTAGAGAAAACTGGAAAACCCCAAAATATCCAGCAAAAGAGAAAAAAGCAAACAATTACACTACACATGACAGTGTGGCCATTCAAAAGAGAAGCTGGGTCCATTGTCAGTGATGGGGGAAAATGTCCATGACGTGACATTAAGTGAAAAATGCAAATTTACACAACAATGTCTATGGCAGGATTGCTTCATAAATATAGATGTATTTGTACCAAAAAAAGCTACCATGGCCTATGCCTGGGGAGGGGGACGTGGTGGCATCAATCTGCACTCACATAATCCTTTAAAACCTATGGAGGGCAGGGTGACTGTCTGTTCAAATTGCTGAAAGGAAGGGCAGGCCTGACCTAGTGCTTCGGCCAGACCCCAGGCCTGGAGCTGCAGAGCTCAGTGGGGGTGGGGGGACAGTTATGGACCCCCGGATGGGCAGTAAAATCTCATCACTCTCATGGCCTGGTCTTGGCCCTGCTAAGAGCACTCATCTTGGTTGGTGGCAGAGCTGCTCGAAGAAGGAGCCAATGCTGGGGGCTGCCGAGTACCCGTGGGGGTGTTTGCCCAGGAAGCTGTCACGGGGATCACAGGGTGGAAGGGAGCTGGGTCAGGCATGGTCAGGTGGGGTCAGCCGAGGGGCTCCTGGACCCAGAGGGTGGCTGTGTCTCAGAGCTAGGCGAAGTCTGGGGCTTCAAGGGCAGGACCCGTCTCCTGGGATGAGCCCCATCGGCCCTCCCTGACAGGCCCTCCGGTTGCTCTGAACTTCACCCTGCTCTCTGGGAACAGAGACCCAGCCCTACTATGTGCAGGGGCCCTTGAGTCCTTCCCCCGCCCAACGAGGGGCAAAAGAGTCCCACTTTGACATGGGAGGGCCTGCCTCAGCTCCCCTAATCCCTTATGGGGAGGGGCCAGCTCTGTCAGGCACCTCTGCTCCCCAGTCTGGCCCTGAGGCCACAAGCATCACAGCCCGCAGCGCTTCATGGGTGATGGGATTTGGAAGGACTCGAGCCATCCAAGCGTGTTCCAGCATCATTTAGCAAGGGCTGAGCTGCCTCGTGAACTTCTAGACTAAGTGCGAGAAGCTGTCCTGATGCCATAGGGCCCACGTGTAGGTCCTGGGGGTCAGGGCATGATGATGACTGCCCAGCCTTTCCTGTGTGCCCAGGTGCTACCCAGGGGCCCGTGGCAGCCCAGGGACCTCCAAAGGCCAACAATCCCAGCCACATCCTGGGACCAGCGAGGCAGCCCGGGGGCCAGCACCTCCAGGGAAGGGTGCGGCCGCCTTGGGAGCCGCTCAGTCAGATCGTGGTCCCAGGGACTGTGGGACATAGCTGGACACTGTGGGGAACAGAAACCGTGGCTGTAGAGAAAGCTCTGAGGGTTTGGGGTGCCTTGGGACACACCTCCATCCAGGCTTTGCAGGATGCTCTCTGGGGGACTGACAGCGCTGCTGAGTACCGTGGTCTGGAAGCCGGGCCAGACGCCGGCTTCTCTTCCCCCGGGCTGGTTCTGCCCCCTGGTGGTGGCAATGAGGAATGCTCCGCTCCCAGGCGCGTCCCTTCTGGCCTCCACCCACGCCTCTTTGGCGGGCCTTGAGTTCGCAGCGTGAGCCAGATCTCACTGCGCAGGCGTCCAGGCAGCTCATCAACACCCAGTGACACGGAAAACCTGCCCCAGGAAAAGCGTGCAGGAGCCGATAGCACTTTCTGTTAAAGGATTCACTGAAATAATTTTGAAATCTGTGAACTGTCACACTTTTTTATGTGACCATATAAAATCTAAGTTTGAATTATCGCTAAAGATGTAATTTCTGGGATATTGACAGAATTTCAACATCGACATTTTAAAATAAAGCTGCCACATCGACTCTTCTAAATGTATCTAATTAAATATAAATGCCGTAGTGTTTTAAACAAATGTGTTGAGATACAACTTCTGTGCACGGTGGATTCATGAATAACCGATACCACCCAGGCAGGCCTCCTTGCCACTTCCATTACCATAGATTAACCTTGCCTGTTCTTGAACTTCACGGATAGAGCCATGCATCAGGTTCTCTTCCATGTCTGACTTCTTTCACCTAGCACTGTGTCTGTGTTTGGAGATAGGTCTTTAGAGAGGTAATTAAGTTAAAATAGAGACACCAAGAGAGGCCCCGATCCAATACGACTGGTGTATTTCTAAGATGAGATAAGGGACAAAGACATGTGGCCAGGGAAGACGCCTGAAGACGCTGGCAAGGAGGGCAGAAGCCTCAGACGGACCCAGCCCTGCCCGCGCCTTGATCCCACTGCGTGCTTTTCCCAGAACAAGAGCCGCGAGGGAGAGAGTGAGCAACACAGGGGTCGGGAGTTTCGTGGCAGAACCTCGGAGGTGGCATTCTATTACTGTTGTCGCGTTATGTTCCTTAGAAGAGAGTCCCAAGGCCGTGGCCCTACTGGAGGGGAGGGACTCACACCAGGGCACGAGCACTGGGGCGCATCTCAGAGGCTGCCCAGCCCGGAGGTCGAGGGAGACATCGAGAACCAAGGAGAAAAGGACCCACCACACAATTTTAAAAGTTGCCAAAAAGAGCAGGCATTCCACGGAAGAGATCGAATATCAAATATTTGAAACCCTCCAAAAGAATTCTCAACGTTACCAGCGATCTGAATAATACAAAGCAAAACCACAACACTCTGGCAAGAGAAGCATGTGCCCAGACCCGAGTGTTGGAGCAGGGGAGGCCTCACCCCTGTCCGCGGGGGCGCGAGCGGTCGACTGCCCTGGGAACCAGCTCACGGCGCTTAGCTCCGCTGCACCTGCGCGCAGCGCACAGTCCGGCCTCGAACCGCGAGTGACTGCGAGTGACCCGAGATTTTAGCACCACCCGCGAGCTACCAGGTGAGAGAGGCACGGTCTCGTGGGTCACTTGCCTGGGCACAGCGCCTCCAGGTATGACAGCCCCGGGACCGGCAGTCATATGCGCTGCTCACAAGTTCATTTTAGAGCTATTTAGGCCTCACTTGACTCCAGAGGGACTGCACACAACACCTGTGTGACATACGTAAATTTGGAATGAGAAATACAGGAAGGAAAATAAAATCCAGTGTGTAGGCCTGTAATTTTATGTATGTGTGTGTGTGTGTGCGTGTGTGTGCATACGTGCACGCACACACACACTCAGAAAGCTGCTTCATACATATCCTGAGGTCACAGGAGCAGATCCTGCAGGCCTGGTCATTCGTCCTGCTGACCAGCCGCCCGGGAAACACCCCTGGGCTCTATGCTGAAGTCCACGTGGCTAGGAATCTAAGGGAAGAAATGGCTGTTTGTGACTTTTTTCCTAGATTGAAGCTGATATCCAGAGGAACTGAGACACAAGACCTCCCCAGGGGCCTCAGCACAGGCAGGTGGCCGGTCAGGAAGGCAGGCAGGCAGGTGGGGTGGGGGGTGGGGTCAGGGGCCAGGGGAGGGGTCACCCAGCTTGCAATCCTTGGGGCCCCCTGCTCTCGCTGCTGGGACTGCTGGGAACAGACGCTGTTCACCCCTGCAGTGGTGGGTTTTTGCCTCCTCTCCAGCAGGAGGAAGGAAGGGGCAGCCGAGGCCAGAAAGATGCTTGCCACCCCCATCTCCTTCTCCTGTGTTCAAAATGTCCCCTTAGAGAAAGGATGGTCTCCGAAAAGGGTGGGAAGAGACACTGCCCAAAAGGAGTGACCCCAGAAGATAGAGGGCCAGAGAGAGAAGAAAGCGAGCTGGGTTTTGAGGCTTCCCTGCCCACCCTCCCATGTCCTGGGGAGACAGGAAGAGAGAAAGCCAGGCAATGTCCCAGCCTGGCCCTCTCCCGTGGAGAGCTGACTGTCAGGCACTGTTAGCTTCTAAAATATGTATTTTTTAAAATGCTGAAACATAATCCACCCACTATTCAAACATCACATACAATATAAATGAAGCGCCAAAACCCTTGTATGACCATCACTTTATAGATAACTTTAACAAAAGGAAGTATTTCAGATCACAGGCACAGTTTTGAGCTTTCTTGTTTATTTCTTTTAGGATGTTCAAACGGTGAAGTTGTTTTTTGAATCTGAAAATTCATTCAGCGGGTGAGGTAAATTTGTTAACTTGTGCAAATAAGCACGAGCAACTCAAGACACATTTTTAAAATGATAAAACAATACTATTTTTAAACCAGTGCAAGAAGAGTCTCTTGTATCCTTACGTGAAAGAGATACAAAAGGCTTCCTACATGTTTTGCTTCTGCTTGCCGAGTGAGCCTAAACTATGCAGGTATTCAGACACAAAATGTCCCACTCTGCCGAACAAGAAAAACCACTGACTGCCGAAAGCACTTTGCAAAAACACAGGAGACCTAGTGCCATTTTGCCTCTAGTCACTAACTTGTCTCCTGGGAAATAACTGAAAAGCAAAGACAGTAAGAACTGTAGCTTTAAGTACCGGAAAGACAAATGTTAAAAACTAGCAGCTTCTGAAGTCTTTTTATTTTCACTCAATGTACAGAGGCAGAAATCCACCAGATGTCAGTTACACAACCAGAGGCAGAGCTGAGCTGGCTGTGCGGCCACAGTTGTTGTCCCCCGTCCCCCGCCCCCGGGGTGTACAGCACCCCTTTCAAGCCCATGCTATGTATGTCATAACTATATTTAGAAATACACAGAGAGGAAAATATTACTGCTGTAACTCAAGGCTGTGAATGGGAGAGAAACACAGGGAAACCTCAATGAATCGAAAGTGTCAGTTTTTTAGTTCGTGTTCCCCAATCAGTTTCAAATGTCCAACGACATCTGAAGGTGTTCATTTTTTTTTTCCTTTAAATCCTGTAACAAATGCCACTTGAAGAAAAGGGTAGTGCTCTCTCCATACGGGGGAAAATCTTCGATTTAGGGTTATTTTCTTCTAGCGCTGTCAGAGGAAAACAGAGTTGCAAAGTTCTCTCCGGAGATCGAAGAAGTTCTGCCGACAGCCCGCAGCGTCGGTTTGAGGCCATATGTCGCGGTAACCACTTGTTGACGGCTGGATGACGTTCTTTAAGAAGGCAGAGGAGGAACACTGAGCTTCAGAGATCACGAAAAGCGATGAACATGTTAAAAATCAACCGTTGCCTGTTAGCCGATGAACCTTTCCGACGGCCACGTATCCTGGGCGTTTGTGGGCGCCGCCGGGGCCTCTTCCTCGGGCGGGGCCAGGGCCTCCATCTCGCGCACCACCTGCGTGAACACCTGGTCCACCATCAGTTTGCTCTTGGCCGTGACTTCCAGGAACGGGCACCGCCACTCGCGGGCCAGCGCGCGGCCCCGCGCCGTCAGCACCTGGCGCTCGGCGTCCAGGTCGGCCTTGGTGCCGACCAGCACCAACGGCACGGCCTTGGGCCCGCGCAGCCGGCCCATGCGCTCGCGCAGTGGCCGCACGGCCTCGAACGAGGCCTCGCTGCACACGCTGTAGAGCACCACGAAGCCGTCGCTGTTCTTGATGTAGAGGTCCTTGAGGGTGACCAGGTGCTCGGCGCCCACCGTGTCCACGATCTCCAGCAGCGCGGGCGCCGCGTTCACCTCGATCACCTTGCTGAACAGCTCCTCCACCGACGGCTCGCACTGCTCCGGGAAGCTGCCGCAGGCGAACTGCGTGGCCAGCGCCGTCTTGCCCACCGCCAC